TTTACTTAGTATATATACGTGTATATATACTAAGGCCAGATTCTTAAATTCTAAAGTCTTGTTTCATCATATATATAAGAGTAAATATTATTAATAGTCTCTTTTCTTACTCTATCAGAAACAGGTCTCCAGCCATTGTTCTCTATACGACGATACCAGCCACTCCCATCATCTTTCGGGGGATTCTCACTTTTGAAATGAGATACATGTTTTGGTGGAAGATTTGTATAATCTCTAGGGCTGTTAGCACATAGATCTTCAATATGTCTATGAGTGAATATTTTATAGTATATACTGGGTGGAAATTTAACCTGTGGGTGGAAGAGTTCAAGACACAGATGGGTATAATTATAAAAATGTTTTATACTTTTAAAAATTCTATCTTTCAAATTATACAAATATGCTTTAAAACTACTAAAGAATAATTCATCTATACTTACACCACCTAATCGGAATCGTACAATAATGCCAGCAGCAGCATCTAGAACTTCAGCCTATTAGAAAAATAGATCACTCTTCAATATTCTGTAATATCAATTACAATTCAATTACTCTCATTTTATTATTTTAAAATAATTTCTAAACTTTGACTTTTTATTAAATAGGCTGGCTGAACTGACCTCATATGTTACTGTTATTGTTAGGTACCCTCAAAGAGACTACAACTCAAAGCAACTCTACGAACAACAGATGAATCTTGCTTCATCCTGTACCATTCTCACAATTTCTATCATGTTCAAATGCATTGTGGGCTTTGACTATGCAAAAGTATTTGACTGTGTAGATCACAACAAATTGTGGCTAACCTTGAGGAAAATGGGAATCTCGGAACACTTGAGAAACCTATACTTGCACCAGGAACAACAGGGGGAAACACTGTATGTTTCAAAATCAGGAAAGGAGTGTGTCAGGGATGTGTCCTGTTTCCATTCCTAATTTTAAATTAGAGAATATTTTAAGAACTAAGGGCCTTAACTGAAGAGGACCGTTAGATGGCTGTTAAACACATGAAAAGATGCTCATGATCATAACCACTAGAAAGACGGCAATAGAAACTGCAATGATACATCATCTCACCCCAGAAAAAAATGGCACTGATATTTTTTTAAAAAACACCAAAACAAACAACCAACTCTCAGAAAACAACAAGTGCTGGTGAGGTTGTGGAGCATGGACCTTTAACAATACTGTAGGATTATAAAGTAATAAAACCACTATGGAAAATGTTATGTTACATCCTCAAAACTATAAATAGAAATACCTTATAATCCAGCAATTCAGCCCTCCAGTATATATTGAAGATATGTAAGAGCAGTGACACAAATAAATATGTACACACCAATGTTCATTGAAAGCTATTACAATAGCAAAAAAAAAAAAAAGAGCTAAGGTATGTTCCCATCAACTGATGAATGGATAAATTGTGTTACAGTTAATGAAATTATATACAATTATAAGACCAGGGAGCACTGGTGGCTTAGTGGTAAGAAGCTGTGCTGCAATCTTGAAGGCATGCAAGTTAAATCATCCAGCTGCTCCACAGGAGAAAGATTGGGAAATCTTTTCCCGTGTGACTTACTGCCTCTGAAACCCCAGTGGAGGGTCAGCTATGGGTCAGTTCCAATTTGATGCTACAAAACAACAACAGGGAAGGGAGCGGAGTTGAGGTAGAATCACTGTAGACAATCAACTCAACAAAACTCACCTCTGTAACTCAGAATACACCCATAGCTGACCTTTCACAGGGTCTTAGGAAGGCTGAAAATCACATCAGAGGACATTGCCTATCTTTCTTCAGAGGATCAGCTAGTGGATTTGAACCACCTGTCTTTGGGTTGACAGTGCAATTCCTGATCTACTAGGGGACTGGATATTCCTTTTTAGATAACAGACACTGGTTATTTCTAGATTGGAAAAAAAATCTATCCATTTGCTGTACAGAGGTAACTCGTGGTTCCTGTGATGCTGAACACAGTGACACCGACGTGTCAAATACGATAATGGTTACCCATGGTGGAGAGTGTTTGGTGGAGCTCCCCAATTAAACAAGCTTGGAAGCAGGACTGGTATCCACTTCCAAAATAGCTTGCCTCCGGAAAACCTATGGACTTGGAGAAATGATGAAAGTTACACAAGTGTTCAGGTCTTTCGTTCATAGGTCTTTCGAGTCATCTACGACTCGACGGCACTTAACAACAACAACATATCCAATGTGGGCAAAGTCAACACAGGGTGATCAGGGCAAATGATGACACCAAAAGATGTACACAAAAGAACTTCTGGGGAAGATGGCAGGCTAGGTAGATGGCAACCCAGAATCTCTTAAACTAAGATATTAGAAAACAATCACAGCAAATACAGATGTAATCTTAGAAGTCTAGCTTTCAGTGGAAAAGATATAGTTCAAATACACACTGAAGGAAGAATCTGAATTAAAACATTAAATATGAAGATGGGGTAATAGATTGCAAATGACTGCATCAGCTATTATAAACAATTACAGGTTGTTTTCTGGTTAGCCCAGGAACCCTGGGCCCAGGTGTGATGTGTCCATCAGTAGTTAACCAAGGACAAGAAATATCAATTTCCTCCTTGTTCTTCATATCCTACCAACAAGAATCAGGGAAGTGACTTCCCCATTCACCACCACTCAGCAAGGGGCTGGCAGTGTTCCCTCAGCCTTGGCCCAGGTCTGCCTGAAGTCAGGTTTTTACCATCTCATCTTTAGAGCTAGAAGTATGTACATATTTCTTTACTTAACCCTCCAACAATTAGAAAAAAGGACAGTAGAAAACCCTATAGTCTCAAGTAAAAAAGGAAATAATAAAGATTGTTCTTGCTGTTAGATGTCGTTGGGTTGAGTACAACCATAGGGACCCTATGAACAGAAGATCTGAACCCTGTCCTATCCTGTGACATCCTCACACTTCCTGATACACAAGAGCACACTGCAGCAGTCAACATGTTAATTCACCTGGTTGATGGTCTTTCTCTCCTTCGCTGACCCTCCACCCTTCCCAGCACGTGTCCCTCTCCAAGGAATAGCCCTTCCTAACAACATGCCCAGAGTATGTGAGTTGAAGCCTCATCATTCTTGCTACCAAAGAGCATTCCAGCTGCACCCTCTCCAGGACATATTTGTTTGTTCTCTTCTTGGCTGTCAATGGGATGTTCAGTGCTCTTCTCCAATACCACAGCTCAAAGGCATCTAATCTTCTGGCATCCTTATTAACTGTCCAGCTCTAGAGGCATAGCAAGTTATCGGAAAGACTATGGCCTGAATCAGATACACCTTAGTTCTCAAACTAATATCACTACTCCTCAATAATTTGGAGAGGTCCCTAACTGCAGATGTTTCCAGTGCAATGTATCTCCTTATTTCCTGACTGCTGGTACCAAGGGTATTAATTGTGGATCCAAACAAGATGAAGCTGTTGACAGTTTCAGTTTCCTCTCTATTCATCACAATTTTTTAAATTTTGTTAACAATAAAATATAAGCTGATTGGCCATTATGATTTTGTTAACAATCAACTGTGAGCTGGAATAATAAAGATTAGAGCATAAATAAGTGAAACAGAAACAGAAAAGCAATATAAAGCATTTTCAAAACTAGAAGTTGGTTCTTTTAAATATTAACAAAACTGACATACCACTGGGAAATTTGAAAAAGGAAAAGAAAAAGATGCAAATAACACAAATAAATGAAAATAATTGATATAAAAAGGATAACAGAATACTGTGAAGAACTATAATCCAAAAAATTTGAAACCCAGAGAAAAGAAATACATTTTTAGCAACACATCAACTACCTAAACTAACAGGCAAAATTTCTACCAAATACGAACAAATTTATCATAAAGAAGAAATTGAATAGGTCATAAAAGACTACTCTATTTAAAAAAAAATCCTAAATGGTATAGCACTGGTCTGTCCATTTGCTGTACAGAGGTAAATCGTGGTTGCTGTGATGCTAAACACTGTGAGTGTCAAATGCAATAATGGTTACCCTGGTGGACAGTGTTTGGTGGAGCTTCCCAATTAAAACAATCTTGGAAGCAGAAGTGGCATCCAGTTCCAAAATGGCTTGCCTCTGGAAACTCTATAAATGTGAAGAAACAGCCAAAGTTATACGAGTGTTCAGGTCTTTCATTCATAGGGTTGCTATGAGTCATCTATGACTTGATGGCATTTAATAACAACATATAGCTTCACTAATTCAATCAAAATATAGAGAAATTTTATCACCAATTCTACTCAAACTACTTCAGAATCTAGAAAATGATGGGATACTTTATAACTCATTCTATAAAGTAAGCATTACCTTGACATCAAAGCTATTTTTTGTGACTAGGAACTGGACAAATATTCCCTTTATCACCACTGCTATTCAATTTGGGGAGTTCTAGTTAGGGCAATAAGTCAAGAAAAGGAAAGAAAATACATTCAAACTATCAGGGAGGAAGCAAAATGGTCTCTATTTGTAGATTAAATGATCCTTGTGGTGTCAGAATTTTTACTTTGCTACCCATTGCCTTAGAGCTGTCCACACAGCCAGATGGGAATGTGTAAGTAAAGTGAATTTTTAAGGCTTCATCAGCAATCTGTAGATCCCCTGAGGGATATAGTCTCCAGCTGCTCAACTACTGACACATGATTCACTGTTGAGTAGCATCTTCTACAAAATCAACATTAGCCAGAGAGCTGACTAGACTGTGTATAGAGACTGTGGCAAGATACAGCCCAATGGAGCCCAAAAGACAGAGCCAGAGTTAAAGGATTTGCTTGCTGGTTGGTTGAATAAACAAGAAGTTTCTTAATTTGTATTGCTGGACTTAACCTGGACTTTCACTGTGTGATATAATTTACTTTCCCCTTCTCCTGCCTCCCCAACCTGTTTCCCTAATAAATCCCACAACTTATGGAATGATTTTCAGACCCAGGGACTAGTAGAAATAGGTGGAGCAGAGGGAAGGCACAGCATATCAGATGTTGTAGCTATTAGTATTATACTGTGCATGTTATTAATGGGGACAGTTCTCTTTTATGGAGACAGAAGAGTTTGGACTCCGCCTTCTCCATGCTGACCTTGTTCCTTTTGCATTCTCTATTTAGAAAATCCCAATGACTCAGGAAGAAAATTACTGGATCTAATGGGATGATTCTGAAAAGTGGCAGGAGACCAATAAAAACACAAAAATCTACATTAACAAAGAGAACACTTAAAATGAAAGAAGGAAAACAATGCCACTAACAATAGTCACCCAAAAGAGGAACTATGTAGGAATAAATGAAACCAGACAAACAAACTCAAGCAAGATCTACACCTCACTCCATACACAAAAACCAACTCAAAGTGGATCAAGGACCTAGGACTAAACCCAAGAACTATAAACTTCATTAGAGAAAAGCTTGGAAGAACTCTAGAAGCCCTAATCCACAGCAAAAACAGTCTTCTAAGCACCCCGAAAAACCTACAATCAGGAGAAGATAAAATAGATGAATGGGATCTTCTAAAAATAAAATCCCTATGCACACCCAAAAAATTCTCCAATAGGGTTAAAAGGGAAGCCCCAGACTTGGAAAAAATATTTGGTAATGACATGTCTGATTTATATCTAGAATTTATAGAATATTCGAGCACCAGAAAAAGGTAAAAGTAAACAACCCAATTGAAAAATGGGCACAAGATATGAACAGACACTTCACCAAAGAAGACATTCAGATGGTCAACAAGCACATGAAGAAATGTTCAAAATGCCTAGCTCTAAAAGAGATGCAAATCAAAACAACTATGAGATATTATCTCATCCCAGTAAGAATAACAAAATTTAGCAGAACAGCAAACAACAAATGCTGGTGATGTTGAGGAGAAACTGGAATCCTTATTTACTGTTGGTGGGAGTGTAAAATCATGCAACTACTATGGAAGGCATGGCCCTTTCTCAAAAAGTTGCAAATAGAAATACCATTTGACCCAGCAATTCCACTACTAGAAATATACCCTAAAGAAACCATAACTGCCACCTAAGCAGGTATATGCACATCCATGTTAATTGTGGCTTTGTTCACAATAGCAAAGAGATGGAAACAACCCAAGTGCCCATCAACAAACGAATGGATAGAGAAGTTGCAGTATATTTACATAGTGGAATATTATGCTTGAAAAACAAGGAACTCGTGAAATATTCTACAAAATGGGTGACCCTGGAGGACATTATGCTGAGTGAAATATCTGTCACAAAAGAACAAATACTACATAGTGCCACTGTTGTAAAACGGGACTGACATCAGGGTTGGGGGGAAACAAAGAGGGGATAAATAATGTGTACTGCATTGAAACAGTTAAGGGAGAGAACTGTTTAAGAGGCAGGTATGATTAGGTATTATTGTCATGACAGGAGTCCAGAATGAAAGCTGCACAGTGGAGTGGACTTGGGGGGAATGGAGTTTGTATAACAATGAAAGATTTTTTTATTTTTTTTTTACTTTTCAAAGAGAAAAGCTAATGGGGGGGCAGGGAGGAAAGTGCAACAATGAATGAATGAAAACCCAAACTATCTGTAAACTTTTATTAAAATAAAAAACCAACCCCCCCAATATTGTTTTACGAGGACAAAAAAACCCAACAACTCAAAACAAAGTCTTTACAAAGAAAAAAAACAACCCCACTATTCAAGAAACACAAAGAGACCTATCTAAATGAAAAGATATACCATGTCCATGTATTGAAAGATTTAACACTGTAAAAATATCAATATTTTCTGAAGTGATTTATAGATACAATGCAATCCCAACCCAGATACTTCTTTCATTCTTCACAGAGAAAAAGTAATCATCAATATTATACAGAAAGGAAAGAGAGTCTAGATAAGCAAACCATTAATGAAGAAGTAAAACAAAGAAGCGGGCCATTATTTCAAAACCTACTATATACAGACACAATAAGCACAACAGCCTGGTTGTTGTTGTTAGGTGCCATCAAGTTGAGTATGACTCATTGCTACCCTATGAACAAAAGATCTGAACCTAGTCCTTGGGAGGCTGGGCTCTATGTGGCATCAGGATTGGAGGAAGATTCAACAACCTGCGTTATGAGGATGACACAACCCTGCTTACTGAAATTGAGGAGGACCTGAAACACTTGCTGTAGAAGGTCAAGGACTGCAGCATTCAATATGGATTAAAGCTCAATATCAAGAAAACAAAGATTCTCATCACTGGGCCAACTGGCAGCATTATGGTAGTGAAGAGATTGAGATTGTTAACAGCTTTAGTTTGTTTGGCTCCATAACCAACACTCTTGGTATCAGCAGCCAGGAAATCAAAAGACAAATTGCACTGGGAAAGTCTGCTGTCAGGGACCTCTCCAGAGTACTGAAGAGCAATGACTTCAGTCTGGAGACTAAGGTGGGTATGATTCAGGCCATAGTCTTTGTAATTACTTATTATGCATCAGAAGGCTGGACAATGACTACAATAGAAAGAGAATTGATGCTTTTGAGCTGTGATGCTAGGGATGAGTATTGAATATGTCACAGACTGCCAGGAGACCCAACAGATTTGACCAGGACAGGGTGAAACCAGGCTGCTCCTTGGAGGCAAGGATTCTGGGGTTTTGTCTGACACACTTTGGGCATGTTGCAAGGAGGGACCAGTCCTTGGGGAGGGACATCATGCTTGGAAGGATGGAGGGACAGCACCAGAGAGGAAGACCTTCAATGAGATGAATTGATTCAGTGATTGGGGTAGTGGGTGTAGGCTGGTCAGAGACAGGGAAGTTGGCACATGATAGAACATGGTCTGTGGTACACACAACAATGTACATGTAGTGGGGAGCTCTGGTGGTATAATCCATAGGGAATTGTGCTGCTAACCCCAAAATGGTGCCTTTAGTGGTTCGAATCCACCAGCTGCTCCACAGAAGGATGAATAACCTCCATTCAGTTTCCAGCCTTCAAAAACCTGCTGGAGGGCCTACTATGAGTTGCCTCTGACTCCTTTGCATTGAGTTCTTCAGTTTTTATACATGGCATACTTCAGTAGAAAGTTTTCCTACTGATTAAAAAGAAATAAATATGAACATAGTAAAATCATGAAGTAATCACATATATTTAAAGGGAAACCCCCTCTATCAAGAAAATGCTCTTACCTCTTTAGGATTAATATATTTCATTATTTGATGTGGCTCCCCTTGTTTTCTTATATCAATCATGTCTTTAAAATGATGGAATATGGAAATATCCTAGAAGTTCAAGCATATAATGTTTTAAGGTCAAAATTTAGTTTTTCTAGTACTAATATATTTTTTGCCTAAGTAGGACAAAAATAAATAGGAAGCATAGTGTAATCCTTTTAACTTCCATAACAAGTGCCCCAATAGTGGAAAAACAAAAAAGGAAGCCTATAAAAAAAAGAAAATTTATGTAAAATAGATATGTATGGTGGGTAAGAAGCTGCACTGCAATCCCAAAGGCACACAGTTCAAATACAACAGTTGCTCTATGGGAAAAGGATAGGCAATCTCCTGTTATACAATTAACTGCCTCTGAATATCTGCTGGAGGGTCAGCTATGAGTTGGTCCCCACTCAACAGCACAGAACAACAAGAAAGCTAATCTTAGAAATAAAATCTACCTAGGGTTTCCTTTCCCAAGTAAAATAATATTGGTATCGTTCCCATAGTTTTACCCTTAAGTTTGACATTAAATCACCAGGCTGAATCAGGCATAGTTTAGTTTTCAAATTAACATCAATATTCCTCAGTAATTTGGAGTGGTCCAGTAATAGCAAACTTGCCAAGTGCAACATGTCTTCTGGCCTCCTGACTGCTGGTTTAGGTATAGGTTTCATCTCTATGAACATGGAGAAACGATGAAAATTATACAAGTGTTCAGGTCTTTTTAGTTCATAGAGTGGCTATGAGTAGTCTACTATTTAACAACAACGTAGAGAGAGCTCTGTTGGCCTAGTGGATAGAAAGTTATGTTACAAAGCCAAAGGTGGGTGATTTTAATCTGCGTCCCTCAGGCCTGGTTTTTGGTCAAACATTCTTCTAAGTGATATAGAACTGGTCTGTCCATTTGTTGTGCAAAGGTAACTTGTGGTTGTTCTGATGCTAAACACTGTGACACTGATATGTCAAATGTGATAATGGTTAACCATGATGGACAGTGTTTTGTGGAGCTTCCCATTTAAAACAGGCTTGGAAGCAGGAGTGACATCCACTTCCAAAATTGCTTGCCTCTGGAAACTCTAAATGTGGAGAAACAACCGAAGTTATAAAAGTGTTCAGATCTTTCATTCATAGGGTTGCTATGAGTCATCTACGATTTGATGGCACTTAACAACACAACATAGGTTTCATACTTGGACCAGACAGCAGTACTCAGCACAGAACAGAGAAACACTGCATGGTTCAAAATCTGGAAGGGAGTGTGTCAGGGATGCATCCTGTCACCATACCTTTTCTTTTTCTTTCTTTCTTTTTTTTCCCTTTTTTTTCTTCACCATACCTTTTCAAGCTAAATGCAGAACAGATCACTTAGGAGGCTGGGTTTTATGAGGAGGAATGTGTTACCAGGATTGGAGGAAGACTCATCAACAATCTACATTATGGAGATGACACACCTTGTTTGCTGAAACTGAGGAGGACATGAAGCTCTTGCTGCAGAAGGTCAAGGACTCTAGTCTTCAATATGGATTGTTGCTCAGCATCAAGAAAACAAAGATTCTCACCACTAGGCTGACTGGCAACACCATGATGGATGGAGAAGAGATTGAATTTGTTAACAGTTACGGCTGCTTGGCTCCACAATTAACATTCTTAGCACCAGCAGTCAGGAAATCAAAAGATGAATACATTACATAAATTTGCTGTCAGGGACCTTTGCATAGTACTGAGAAAAAACGGTGTCAATCTAAAGACTAAGATGCACCTGATCCAGTACATGGTTTTCACAATTACTTGCTATGCATCAGAGAGCTGCACAGTGACTAAGGACGACAGAAGAATTGATGCCTTTGAGTTGTGGTGTGCTGGAGAAGTCTCTTAAACATACCATGGACCATCAAGAAAACAAATAGGTCTGTCTTGGAGAGGGGGAAACAAAGTTTCTCCTTGGAGGCTAGGATTTTGAAGCTCTGTCTCACTTACTTTGGGCATGTAGCCAGGAGGGACCAATCCTCGGAGAAGGACATCATGCTCGGAAGGGTGGAAGGATGATGCAGGAGAGGAAGACCCCAGGTGAGATGGATTGATACAGTGACCAGAGCAATAGGGATAGGTGTGTCAGAGTCAGTGAGACTGGCTCAAGACAGTGCAAGCTTCAAAGCTGTTGTACATAGGGTTACTACGAGTCGCAGGCAACTTGATGGCGCATAACAGCAACAAAAACAATGGTTTCATATGAGCATAATTAAATGTTTCATCATAGTTATGATCCACAAAGTCAAATGTTTTTGCATAGTCCATAAAACACAAATAGACATTCTCTTGGTATTTTCTGCTTTCAGTCAGCATCCATCTGATCTCAGCAATGTTATTCCTGATGTCATGCCTCTTTTAAACCTAGTGAACTTCTGGAAGTTCTCTGTCAATGAACTATTCCAGACATTTTTGGATGATCTTCAGCAATATTTTGCTTGTATGTGCTACTAATGGTATTCTTTTTTAACTTCCACATTCTGCTGTATCTCTGTTCTTCAGAGGTGTCAATCCATCTTATTGACGTCACTCTCTTTCTTCTTTGCTGACCCTCCACCTTTCCTAGTGTGATGTCCGTTTCCAAAGAATAGCCTCTTTGAGCAACATGTTCAAGGTATGTTAGATGAAGCCTCACCATCTTTGCCTCTAAGAAGCCCTGTGGCTGCACTTTTTTTGAAGACATATCCAATTGTTCTGTTTGACTGGGAACAAATTAGGATCTCTTCCAGTCAGTTGGCCAGGCAGCTGTACTCAAATTTCCTGACATAGACTGGTTCTATGGTGCATCTAACAGGGCTGCATCTATTCTTTGAAACACAGAAAGGTAGCAAATCATTTTAACTCATTGCGATCAGTATCCTGATCAGTAAAATGTGAATGATTATAGCTATCTCAGACTTATGTAGAATACAAGAATTAGTATTTGTAATGTTAAATAACATCTATCCACTAGATGCTTCTTGGGAGAAAAATGGGCAATCTCCCACGTGATCCACTGTCTCAGAATCATAATGAAGGGTCAGTTATGAGTCAATTCCAACTTGACAGCTATGAAAAGACATACAAGCAAGGCATATAGCTCTAATGAAAGGATTGGTTAACCTTACCATTGCAACTGAGCTTAAATTGAGCTGCTGTAGAGACAGCATATGAGAATCTTACTACCAGCAAGGCAGCAGAAAATGCACAGTGCATCCTATGGAGTCAGAGATTCTTTCACCAGTCAGACCAGAACCAAGATGAGAATGGCAGCAGCATCAGAGAGGAGAACCAAAGACTGCCATGAGACGGAGTTCACCTGGGACTGCTCCCCTATGGAGCCAGAGTCAGGGGTTTGCCTGAGCTCTCTGGATGATTGGGTGGGAGTGGGGAGGTGTGGTGGGAGTGCACCATAACTGGTAGGATTATGATAACTTGGCATCACTGACCTGAAGTTGAGAGAGAGGCTAAAGTTCAAAGGACCTTGATTGAGTATGCTTGAGAATTTGTCCTGACTGAAGAATTTTAAGTTGTTTTCAACCTGAATTGTAACCTATTAACTTCCCTAATAAACTCCATAATCATGAAATAATACTGTTTAAAACAAGAACATTTAAAACAAACTAATAATTGGGATATCTTACAACAAAAGCACAAAAGGGGAAAAGGAGATGAATGGAATTATGACATTCTACACTCTTTTGTAAAATGTTTAAACACTAATTTAAGATATCTGCTAATTTGGTCAAGGATAAATATTGTAAACTCTAAGCTATTCCACAAAAATATATGTAACTGTTCCAGTTATCTGCTGTTGCACAACAATCTACCCCAGAACTTTGTTGGTTTTATGTACTGTCCACTCAGAACTGACTCACAGCTGAGGGATTTTAGAGGCAATTAACTGCAGGGAGGAGACTGACTAGCTTCCTCTCCAGGAGCAGTGGGTGGATTTGTACCACCTGCCTTTGGGTTGTCAGTGTGCTTCCCTACTACTAAGTTTAAACAACTACCATTTAAAAATATTGTGGGTTATGAGTGCTGGTTGGGCATGGTAGGGCACTTTTGTTTTATCTCCACAAAGAATGAGGCATCAGCTAAGGTGGCTTGAGAGCAGCAATGGCTGGAATGGCTCAGTGGAGGTCATGTAGTGACCACAATTCTAGTTACCAAAGTCTTGTTTTCCATGTCACAGAAAGAAAGCATGTAGAAAGAGGAACTTTAGTACCACCAAAACCAAAGAGGTGAAAATCCAAGAGCAGAGCATGTTCTGTGAGGCCAGGTGCCCATGCTAGGAAACTCCTTCACACACAGGAAGGCCAAGACACAGGAAGATCTTCACAGACTGCTGGCTCACAGACATTGAAGGAATCAAGGAACTTCTTCCAGAAGCAACAGAGACAGAATTTATTTCCTCGTTGTTGCTGTTGTTGTTAGGTAACTCCAGTTTATACACTGTGTACAGGTGATCAAAACCTTGCCTGGTACTGGGTCATCCTCAAAATCTCTGTTATGCGTAAGCCCACTGTTGCCGTCACTTGTTGAAGATCTTCCCCTCCTTCACTGATCCTCTGTTTTCCAGACATGGACAGGGCCCTCCCAACAACATGTCCAAAGTATGTGAGATAAAGTCCCATCATCCTTTCCCCTATGCACTTGTAGCAGAAGATCAAGGAATGCAGCCTTCAGTATGGATTGCATCGCGATGTCAAGAAAATAAAGGTTCTTAACACTGGATCAATAGGCAGCATCATGATGAATGGAGAGGAGACTGAAACTTTCCACAGCTTCATTTACATGGATCCACAATTAACACACTTGGTACCAGCAGTAGGAAAATGAGGAGACATACTGCACTGGGAAAATCTGTGGTTAGAGACTTCTCTAAATTGTTGAGGAGTAATGATGACAGAAAGAGGAAGGACTAAGGTGCCTTTTATTCCATGGTCTTTACAATTACTTGCTATGCATCTGAGACCTGGACTATGAATAAGGATGACAGGAAAAGAGTTGACACCTTTGAGCTTTGGTGTTGGAGAAGAGCACTGAACATCCCATAGATGGCTAAGAGAATAAACAGAAATGTCTTAGAGAAGGTGCAGCTGGAGTGCTCTTTGGAGGCAAGAATGATGAGGCTTTGCCTCACTTACTATGGGCATGTTGCTAGGAAGGGCTATTCCTTGGAGAAGGAGATGATGTTGCGGAGAGTGGAGGGTTGGCGAAGGACAGGAAGACCTTCAACTAGGTGGATTGACATGGTGACTGATGAAACGGACTCTGTGTCAGGAAGTATTAGGATGGCATAGGATAAAACAGGGTTCGGATTTTTTGTTCATAGGGTCAGCATGAGTTATACTTGATAGTGCCTAGCAACAACAACAACAACAACCACATTTATACGGACAAGGCCCCTGTCAGTGACTTCTCCAAACTACTAAGAGAAATGATGCCAGTTTGAAGACTAAGGTGTGCCTGATTCAGGTCATGGTCTTTTAAATAATTTCTTGTGATTGAGAACTGAACAATGAATACAGGATAATAGATGCCTTTCAGCTGTGATGTTGAAGAAGAGTATTGAATATCTCATTGACTGCCAAGAGAACAAGGTATGTCTTGGAGAAGGTACAGCCAGAGTGCTCCTTGGGGACAAAGATGAGAAAGCTTTGTCTCACATACTTTGGGCATGTTGCTAGGAGAGGTTATTCTTTGGAAAGGGGCATCATATTTGGAGAGGTGGAGGAATGGTGAAAGAGAGAAAAACTCTCAACCAGGTGGATCGACACAATGACTGCAGCAGTGTAAAGGGCTGGTGTGTGTCAGAAATTGTAAGGATGGCACAGGATGGACAGGATTCAGCTCTGTTGTTCATAGGGTCCCTATGAGTTGTACTCAACTCAATGGCAACTAACAACAAACAAACAAAACCAAATAAATTTCTTTTTACTTCTGGTGTCCTGTATAGCAACACTAGATATTCAGGTAAGTATACTAAACCCATAAAAAATTGTACAGTTTTTAAGTGGGTAAAACCTGTTGTTGTGTGCCATCAAGTCGGAATCAAGCCACAGCTGGCCCTCCAGTGGGTTTTCAGAGGCAGTGATCACACAAGAGGAGACTGCCCCACCCATCTCTGGCAGAGCAGCTGGTGGATTTGAGCCACATGCTTTCAGGATTACAGAGCAGATTTTTAACACTAGGCCACCAGGTAAAATCTATGATATGTAAATTATATTTCAATAAAGCTGCTAAAAGTTTTCATAAGCTCACAAGTAGACGTTTCCAGGCATGCTGAATGATTCTGGCAGCTTTATCTTGTTTATCTAAAGAAGTCTGTTCCTCACTTGCAACAACTTCATAGTCCTAAATAAAAAAAAAAGGATAATGTCAATAAAATGAAATTTCTTTATTGTCCAATTAAGAAATTGTCCTAAATAAAAAATGATAGTGTCAATAAAATAAAATTTCTTTATTGTCCAATTATGAGATTGTCACAAGACCTTAGACAAAATTACATATAAGGCTGCAAAACCAGAAGGATTAACATTAGATTTGTTAGCCAAAATAATAATACAGGTAAAAGTTAACTATTATTGATCTCTGAAGGAACCTGGTGACACAATGGGTTATGTGTTGAGTTGCTAATGGAAAAGTCAGCATTTGGGATCTGCTAGCCACTCTGAAGGAGATAAGCAGTCTGCTCTCTTGAAGGATTACCTTAGAAACCCAATGGAGGGTTACCATAAATCAGAATTAACTCAATGGTAATTGCCTTACAGGTTGTCCAGCCAGCAGCTCCATTGTCTTCGCCTATAAAGACAGCTGTTCTTTCTTGTGTGCCAGTGGGTCAGTTCTGATTCATAGCAACCTCATAGAACAGAGGAGAACTACCCAATAGAGTTTCCTAGGCTGTAGTGGCAAGAAGCCATACTGCAATTCTGAAGGCATGTGGTTCAAGGCCACCAGCCGCTCAGTGTGAGGAAGATGAACAATCTCCTCCCTTCTGATTAACTGCCTCCAAAAACCTGCCACAGCGTCAGTTCCAACTCTACAATTCTCAACAACAATCTTTATATAGATTACCAGATCATTTCTCCTGCACAGCTGATGATGGGTGCAAACTATCAACCTTAGCAGACTATGGCCTGGATTAGGTGCACCTAAGTCTCTAGACTGACATCGTTGCTTTTTAGTACTCTGGAGAGGTCCTTGACAGCAGATTTTCCCAGTGCA